ATATATTTAATCAATTTATGTATTTGTAATAGGGTCTTACTACTTTGTCCAGACTGGCCTGGAATTTCTGGGCTTCAGTAATCCTCCTGCTCTACTCCGTCAAGTAGGTGAATCTCCGGGGCATGCCACCATATCTGACTTTTTTTTTTTTTCAGTCTATTTTAAGTCCCTTTCTGCATCATTGACTATCCTTTTACATTTTTTAATGATGGCTGGGTATCTCACTCCAGGGAGGAACTTCTACTCATTCTATCTTCTCTGTTGTGAGAGCCTTTGGTTTCTTTGGGATTCTGATTTTGTCACCAATCACACTGAGGCTCTCAGAAGCTTGAGTCATCCAGAGGGCAGAGCAACTGGTGGTTTTTATGGTGCAAGACAGGAATAGGGATGAGACCTGTGAAGGGAAGAGTGAGGGTGTGTGGAACGGGCGGAGAGGGGAAGCTAAATAGACGTGTCAACCAACACCAGCATCGGCCGGAGAACGCCAGCTAGCCTCGCTTCTCACGAGATAGAAACGAACAGCTGAGGCTTTCCATCTCAAGTCATTTAGTTGTGATAGAAGGCAGATGCTCTGAGAGGGTTTGGCCTTAGATGAGGCTGCCTTCTGCCTCGGAGGCCAACCTGGGAGGTGTGACAGCTGTGAGTGTCTGCTGACCTCACTCCAGTGCTTGGCTGACTGTGTTCCTAAAAAGGAAGGCTTGGGTGGGGTGTCTGCATCCGCTGCAGATGTTCGTTCAGTCTCTATTTCTATCTTTGCTCCTATCTTTAGGAGAAATTCCCAGGAATAGAATTGCTGGAACAGACCACGAGCATTTTAGCAACATTTGATATTTATCATCAAATGAGTTTCCAGAAAGATTGTGGCCTGTAGTTGGATTTTTCTTTTGGCCACCAGCCCCCAAATAACAATATGAAGGCTTATTAATTATGAAAGCTTGGTCTTAGCTTAGGCTTGTCCCACTAGCTCTTATAACTGTAATTAATCCATATATATATATATATATTTATTAATCTATGTTCTACCACATAGCTCTTACCTCTCACTCATTCTGTGTGTACAACTCTTCTGCATCTCCATGGCATCCTTCAAGAGTCTAGATTCATCTCTTACCTCCTCTCTCTCTGCCTGGAAGTCCTGCCTATACCTCCTGCCCAGCTACTGCCCATTCAACTCTTTTTTTTTTAAACCAATCACAACAATATGTCTTCACACAGCGTACAAATATCCCACAACAATGGCCCCTTCCCCACCAATGAAATGAACACTGTTTCATTGCCAATGCATAGAAAACATGATAACTTTATTGCTTGTTTTCTTATTTAATTTTTCTTTCCCCAAGACAGGAACTTACTCTGTAGCCCAGGTTGGCTGTGACCTGCCTATCCCCCTACAACAGCCTCCTGAGTGCCAGGACTACAGGCATGGGATACATGACCTTTTCTATGTTTTCTAAATATTGAAAAGTATCCTAACTTCTCTTAGACAATAAATGATTTTGATGCCTAATTTTAAAAAAATATTTAAACATTTATTTTGGATATACATATATATGTGTGTGTGTGTGTGTGTGTGTGTGTGCCTAAGTTTATGTATGTGTGCTATATGCATGCAGCATGCTTAAATTTTTTATTATGTCTATTTGTGTATGTGTGTATACATGTGTACTTGTTGGACAGCACAGATGTGAAGGTCAGAGGACCACTAATGGGAATCTGTTTTCTCCTTGTACCTTGTGGCCTCCAGGATCGAACTCAGGCAGTCAGGCTTGGAGACAAGCATCTTTATCTGCTGAGCCACCACACTGGCTGCAGATATTTAATTGTTGTGAATTTCATCTTAAACTCCTAAGGTTAGTATTTTTCTCTATAAATCTGTATGCATCTTCCATAAAGACAATATAGCTTAATATCTGAAAAAATGAAGCAAAGAATTATGCTTATGTGTTCTGAGTTGCGAACCTGCAACCTTAAGGAGGCTGAGCCATGGCTGGAGGCTGAGCCATGGCTGGAGGCTGAGTTGACTTTAATCGGAGTTTCCAACATTTTACAGCCCTGCCATATGCACATTTGAAGAAATAAGTGGCCATCTCCTTTCAGTAGGATAATTCTATATGTGAAAGACACACACACACACACACACACACACACACACACACACACACACGGAGGGAGAGCGAGCAACCATAATTCACAGAGTGCCTCCTCTGTGGTAAGTATACTCTTGAGCTTTTACATTCACCATCATATTTAATTATTATAAAACAGTTCTTTTGAGACGTTACTGTCCTGCACTTTTTGGATGGGGAAACCAAAACTTTGGTAACTGGTAACATATGTTGCTCAGGTTCCCAGGCTTGTCATGTCACATCCTCGGCAGCTGTCTCTGAGGAACAGTGTCAGGCTACACAGCATGTGTTAGCCAATTTTTCTTCTTTTTGCTGTGAGAAAACACCATGACTAAAACAATGATGGAAATTTATTTTGCCTTACAGGTCCAGGACATTGGAGTCCATAATGGCTGGGGAGGAATGGCAGTGAGTATCTGGAGCAGGTAGCTGAGAGAGCACATCTTCAACCACACCCAGAACAGCTCGTGAGTGAGCTGGAGTGAGGTGAAGCTCTAAACACTCAGAGCCAGCTCCTAGGGACACACTTCTCCAGCAAGGCTGTGCCTCCTAAAGGTTCTGCAATTGCCCCAGACAGCTGGGGACCGAGTGTTCAAATACCTGACTCGATGGCGTGCATTGCTCATTCAAACCAACACCATGGCAGAGGCTTCTGATAGGATGTGCTTATATAGTAACTGTAAGAGCCCTCTGTCCACTGCACTGCTAATATAGATGCTCTGGTGTCGCTAAGTGTTTAAGTATTATAGTTAGTGTTTTTCTCAGTGTGTTAGCACACACCTGTAATTTCAGCACTGAAGTGGCCAAGGCAGGAGGATTGCCATGAATTTGAGACTGTTCTAGGCTACCTAGTGAGGGCTTGTCTCAAAACAACAATCTCGGCCTGGCGGCGGCGGCGGCGGCGGCGGCGGCGGCGGCGGCGCACGCCTTTAATCCCAGCACTCGGGAGGCAGAGGCAGGTGGATCTCTGTGAGTTCGAGGCCAGCCTGGGCTACCAAGTGAGTCCCAGGAAAGGTGCAAAGCTACACAGAGAAACCCTGTCTCGAAAAATCAAAACAAACAAACAAAAAAACCAACAATCCCAGATAGCATCCCATTAAGCATCACATGAAGTATTTGCTTCATGTTTACTAAATACAGAGCACTTCTGGGATAGAGAGAAGCAGAGAAATATCTTCCTTTTTTCTTGAATCGTTCCATCCTCTTCTTGGGTTTGGCCTAATAAGAGTGTAGGCGGCACACAGAGATGGTCTAGTCAGTGGTCTCCCACCACAGCAGGAACAATTGTATCCCTGAAGCTTGTCAGCTCTTCTGAACAGACCCACTGATTACAGCGGGTGCCAATAAAAAAAAAAAAAAGGATTGAACCAAAATAAACCTGCGGAATAAACAGAAACCGTCAGTCACCCCAATCCAGATGGTCTTCATTCATAAGAGCAAATGGGTTCCCATCCAGCCTTTAGATCTAACTTCCAGGAGGCAGGAAATACTGAGAAAGAAATATGTTGAGGACACCACAAAAAAGCCATAAGACAAATCCAGAAGGCAGCCTGCTTTTTTCAACACACAATGCCATTCCAAAAAAGGAAGAAGGGGGGAGAAGGAGGCCCTTCTAGGGTAAAAATTCTGCAATCAAATGGAATGCAATTTCCCTGATTGCCTCTTGGTCTAGGTAAGTCAGCTGCAGAAGATGTTTTGGGATCAGATAGGGAAACCCGAGCCTGGGCTGGTTATGAAATAGCAGTTTTATTGGCTTTATTTAGTTATATGTGAAGTGATATTTTGACAATGCAGGGGAATGTTCTTTAAAGACGAGATGTATAGTGGAATATTTAGGGGTGAAATGTATCTGACTTTTAAGACTCTCTGTAGCAGAGAAAATGAAGCGAGATAAGGCCAGGTGCTAACCATCCTTAGGCTCAGAAGCTAGGCTGTTTCCTGAGACTAGTTTCTCTGCCATATGTTTAGCTTTTTTAAATTGCCCTAAAATCAACAGCCCCTCGGGAAAATAAGAATGAAAGGGCCAATCTCATCTTTTCTCAAAGGTGAAGTCCTAGGTGGCCTGGTTGGGGCTCCTGGAGCCGGGAGGGAAGCCCCAGGGCCCACAGGCTTTGGACCACCTGTGCATCTCGCCGGTCTGGCCTAGCTCACCTACTCAGGCCCTCTGCTCAAACGGAATAAGCTGTCACCGTGACACTCCAGGGAGGGTCAGAGTTTGGACTAAACTCCGGGTAAAGGCGGTCCAAGGTCCAGAACTGAGCCAAGCGGGGCAGGGGTGGTGTCAAGGCGGGTGAAAAGCCAAGTTCTTTCTGTTCACTGAACCTCTTGTGGCGGGAGGGGAAAATGAAGCGGCAGGTCTCTTCCTCCGGACCCACCTGTCACCCGCTCCACCCAGGCTAGGGGACCGGCCGGCCGCAAGTGCCCAAGCCGTTACCCTCACCTGCGGCCGGAAGCCCGGGAGGTCGCCGGCACTGCGAAGCATCTGGGACCGGTCAGCGGGCTCCGTGGAGCCGGAGGACAGTGGCAGCGAGGCCAGGCGTCCCCACGTCCCCGCGGGGGAAGTTTCTTGGCCCGGAAAGGTGCAATTGTGTGCAGCTATTCCTGGTATGTCAGGCCGCAGGCTGTAGGGGCACCGCCTCCTGAGGGCCTGGGACAGGGAAGGCTGGCGGAGGCGGGAAGGATGCGGGCTGGGGCGCATCTCTTCCCGCCCCACCGACTGTGGCATCTCCCCGCCCAGATAGTCTGACCAGAGAGCTGGCAGCAAGGACCCCCGCGAGGAGCACGGACGGAAGTTGGTACCGGCCCGTAGGGGGTGGGCTGGGGCGGGGCCATGGCTGAGGGCGGCGACAGAGCTTGCGACTTTTGAAGTTCCCAGGAGTCCCGGCTCCCGCTGCGCACCGCTTCCAGTCAGCTTCTTCACCTCCCTCCTCTGCTCCAGTCCCGCTGGATCTGAGCCCATTTCAGGAGTTTCGAGAAAGCAACGCCTGCAAGTTCTGCTAGGTTCCTGAACTTAAAACTGCACGTCGCAGTTTCTCCCTCTCTTGCCCTAGTCATGGAAGGGATGGAGGACGCCGAGGCCGATTGCTCCGTTGCATTCGCAGAGGCTCAGAGATGGGTGGAGGTGAGTGTCTTTTACAGCTCTTTGCAGACGAATTAGCGCTCTCCGGGATGGGCTGGGGTTTTAGTAGACCGGGTTCCCAGGCCATCTGAGTTTAAGTCCGGTGACCTAGCCTGAGTAAAGAGGAGGCAGTTTGGGGGGCCGTGCAAATTTTCCCTTTCCAATTCCCTGATGCCCAGCCTTTCTTGGACTTTCTTGCAGATCTCCTAGCGCCTGCCCACTAGGTTTTGGTACCGCGCATCCCATAGGACCAGTCCAGGTCCAGCTTCCTCAGATGTCTCTGTGAGGGCACTTCCCAGAAAGCTGGACACAGAGCTAGGCTGGGGTCCTGGAGTGCATTTCTTTGGGATGCTGATGCCTGAAGGGCACCTGGATAGCCAGTGTAGTCTGTGTGAGTTTAGGGAGGTGGGAGATGCCACCCTTTCCTCTACCCTTCATCCTCTCTGGAGTGGAAAAACTAAAATACCCTAGGCTCATTTACAGATGGCTTGTTATTCCAGCCGTGCCTCACAGTCAAGGTCTTCTGTTTCTTTTATTCCTGTGAAGGAGAGATAGTCCCTACATGTTGCCTTCGGACAAGGCTATTCTGGGGTTGACAAGTTGGGGGTTGGTGGTGGTGTGCATTCCTATGTTAGTGATTGAACTCCTTACCTGTGCTCTAGCGCTGAGTTACAACCCCCCACTCTGAGATGTCTTCTAGGATGGGTCAAAAGAGTCCTTCCAAACGTGGGCACCACAATAACTTGTTATGAAATTGTTTCTTACAACAGCATTGAAATCATTTTGGAGTTATTGGTGTCACATGCTGGTGTATCCAATAGCTAGGAATTTAATTCAGAATTTAATTTAATTAATCCTTGACAAGAGCTCTACTCCTTAATCACACCCCAGCCCCTCAATATATTTAAGAATTCAAATTCTGCTTAAAGATTTTCTGAGAAAAGCAGTACTACCAAGAATGTCAGAGAAATAGTACATATATGTAATTTTATTTTCTTTAAAGAAACCCATGTAGGGCTGGGGATATTGCTCACTAGGTCTCACTAGCTTGAGAATCCGAGTTTGGATAACTAGCGTGCGTGCACGCGCGCACACACACACACACACACACACACACACACACACATACTCATACACACACACACACACACAGAGAGAGAGAGGGAGAGAGAGAGAGAGAGAGAGAGAGAGAGAGAGAGAGAGAGAGAGAGAGAGAGAGGCAATAAAAACAGCATGTATTTATCAGGAAAAAGTAAAAATAATAAATGTTAAATGTTACATTTCTACTTTTCAGCAAAAGGACATGAGATGTGAGTAACATTGCTTTCTAGATGGCAAGGATGTCTCAGAAATTAGCTTTTGGTGCCTTTATGGGCTGAAACTTTGAGCTGTCTCAAGGTGACTTGGAAAGATGTGAAGGGGGGGCATGGGAGGCTGAGAGAAGTTATAAACACCGTTCAGAATTGAAATGAGAGTGGAAAAATCCCAGCAATGTAGTTAAGAGAAATAACTTTGCTCATTCACAAACCTGGAGAAGTCAAGGCTTCACCTGTAACTTTCCATTAGTGGTATTTGCTCTGCATGATTTCAGAAAGCAGGGTAAACTCACCATTCTCTTTTTTCATTTGAGTGTGGAGGATGGAGGGAGGGGGATGGGAGGGATGCTGGGGTGTTCTAACTCATACATGGCTCCTGGGTGGCACATCGGCACTTTTGGGTCATTCACAACTCCCAGGTGGTGTCTGTCTTTGCATGCCTTATACTTGTTTCTAGAACTGTGGATCATTTCACACCGATGGTTAGTTTCTAGATCTTAGGAAAGTCAGTATTACTTGGTTGTCCTGGCATGCTTACAATTGTGTAAGAGTTCTGTGGAAAATTTGCATACTGTGAACTCCTGGCAAGTGTTATTGTACAATAGGTAATCATTGTGTGTGCTTGCTCATCTTCCCCTCCATCCCAGTCTACGGAAAGGCTTAGCAGCAGGAATTTGGCAGCTTGGTACATTCTTGAAGAGTGCAATATTCCTAAAGCTACTGTCAGATCCTTTTAGTATAGTTAGGGAAATTAAAATTGAATGCTTTTTCCTTGCACACCAGTTGAGCTACTGTTAAATGTTTGTTGAGAATATTTAAATATTTTATATATGTATATGAGACCAGGTTTCATGATGTAGCTGTAGATGGCCTGGAACTCACTATGTAGACCAGGGGCTGGCTTTGAGCTCATGCAGATCATCTATTCTGGCTCCAAAGTGCTGGGACTAAAGGCATGCACCATTATGCCTGTCCTCATATTCCTACATTAAAATTTTTTTTTTTTTTTTTGTTTTCTGAGACAGGGTTTCTCTGTGTAACCCTGGCTGTCCTGGAATTTGCTTTGTAGACCAGGCTGGCCTCAAACTCACAGAGATCCTTTCCTCTGCCTCCCGAGTGCTAGGATCAAAGGTGTGCACCATCACCACCCCAACGCTACTTACAATGTCTATTCTTTAGGAGTGTGCTGGGCATTTGAAGTGATGCTGGTTGTTCTCTTGTTAGTGTTTTCTTTACAATTAAAGCATGTGTTTAAAATAGTCTTTTGCCCAAAGACACACAAGGTCTGACTCTCATTGCTATAACCTGTTGCTTTCAAGAAACCTTAGTCTGAAGATAAAGTATTTCTAAATCATTTTGGAACATGAGTGGGATACTGGAGTAAAGTTCCTGTTTGTTAATATTCTTGCTCTGTTTTGTTCTTTCTGTTGGTTTTCTCTGCATAAACTTCTGATTCATACATGTCGTGTATGCATGTATGTGCATGTGCTATAACGTGTAATATTGTCTGGAGTCTAGCCTGCCGTCTTTATCTTCCCCTAAAGTTTTATACGTACCTGTACTTTCTGCCATGCTGGTGCTGGGGAGTGAGCCTAGCTGCCTCACCTTTTCACTGAACTACCCACCCTGTCAGCTGCAGTTTTGACTGTCTCAGGGCCAAGAGAGTCCAATCACCTTGTAAAACTTTAAATGACGACTGGACTCCATGTCAGCATTGACTTTCTGTTTCCATTTTCTATCTGGGAGTACAAATACATACTGTGTTATTCTTACAACCAAGATGGAAATGATTAAAATTCATTTTGGGACCAGTTATGGAGCAAGTGAGATGTGAGGGCTGTTGTGATGTTATTGATTTCTCTTTTGCTTCATTTTAAATTATATTTAGATTCTTAAGAAAAAATATGAGTATACTTAAACAAACAGGTCTGTCCACTCGGGGATTAATTTTGCAGCAAAAACAAATGTAGGACTGGTGCCCTTTAAGATAATGTGACAGAATGATATCAGATGGATTATCTAAGTGGAAATGTTGTTTGGAATATTAATAATGTAGCAGGGCTAGTTTATGATTAAACATTGGTTAAAAACTGAGTTAGGCAATGGTTTGCAGTCAGTGCTCTCCTAGCAAGGTCATAGAGTGGGTGATGAAGTGGTGGAAAACACAGCCCAGACTCGCTAATTTTAGTTTGCTTCTGCTGTACCTTTTAATTTCCTATAACTAATAGTTGCCTCTGTCTGCTTAGGGACAAACCCTTAACTTAAGCAGCTAGAACCCTGATGAGGTTAAAACCCAGGGGTGCTGTTCACTGCCTTGCTTGATCACTGGTTTCCAGTCTGAGAGTTCTCGTCGCTATCGAGGTGTAAGGAGGAAACACTGCTGTGTCTGTGGCTGGCACAGGACAGGTTCACTTGAGTCACTCCCCTCCTGCTCGCCTGCCCTTCTTCTTATCTCTGGGTTGGAGTCCCTCAGTATCACTGTCATCCTGTAAAAGGACCAAAGGGTGCCAGCTTGAGCACCTTTTGCCAAGTCTGGCACTAGAACAAGAGTCCTGGATCGTGGTTCACTTCCCACTGGTCTCTGCCACCTGCCCCATGGTTTACCCCTCAAAGACATTCTGTCACTCTACTCCCGTTGTTCTGTTTGTCTCTTGCTAAAGAATTTTAAGAGCTTAAAGACTTCCTTGGCTTAAAAAAAATTGTACTGTCTGGGTCCACCATTGGTATAAGCAAAATTCTACCGCTCTTTCTCTCTAAACTGTGTCTTTTCTAACCATGGCTGTCCACCTCAGGTCTGTAAGAAACTGCATGCTCACCACACACCAGTGCTGTCTATAGGCCAAGTGAAAGTCTCACAAATGTGTACTATTGCTTTTCAAATGCAGATAGTATGACAAATATTCCTTTGAAACTCTTTCTAGATTTGGAGAAGCATATTTGGTAATACATACAATTTCCTTCCTTCCTTCCTTCCTTCCTTCCTTCCTTCCTTCCTTCCTTCCTTCCTTCCTTCCTTCCTTCCTTCCTTCCTCCCT